GCTGTATTTTGTGGTTACAAAGAAAGGATCAATCATTTTATCTCAAAGGGCAATCTTATAAATATTCTGAAAAGAATCAGAAATCTAAACTGATACATATATTTAAAAAATAGTCATTTCTACGTTAAGTCCTCAGAGTGTATATCCACTCAGCAATTTTTTATTAAATCATATCAGGAAGCTGAGGGCAAAAATGGGTAGAAGGTATTAATCATCGCCTTTGATCACCAACCCATCCTAGCAAGAAAGGTACGCCAGCGAGTAATAGCCAGGCTGCCTTTGCTCTTGTTCCTTGACCTCAGCTAGTTAACAAAAGTGTGCCTTTCTAAACTTTAAATTGTTCCCCAAGATTTTCTACTTCAAAGCCATTGACAGAAACTATCTTCACTACTTATTAACAATCTACATCTTTGAATTCTTTCTAAGGGTGGTGGTTGAGTCATTAACCTGCTCCAGCAGCCGTGCTTGGAAAAAGTCACTATTATTTTAAGTACCAGTGACACTGTGCATCGAGGGTCTAGACACCCCTGAGAGTTTTCACATAGCTCTAGATTATGGGGTGACCTCCAGGGCAATGAGAGAGCTTGTGCTCAATAACAGCACGAGGTCCTCAGGAAACAATCCTTGTGGCTCTGCCTCTCCAAGGCCCCACCCAATGTGTTTGTGCTGATGGAGATGGATCGCTAGCTTACTGTTCCTTTCTCAGGGCCTCTGACACCCTTCCCCCGAATTTTCCTCTGATGGTAATTACGGCACACAGAGGTGTCCTGAGGGGGCTCAATGGCTTAGGGAAATGGATGGAAGAAAGGTGCAGACTCATCAAGGATGACCCAAATATGGGCAAGCTAAGGAGATGGAGGCATCCCAGATCTGGGGCCACCAAGTGACTGGGTTTGGTATAGGGAAATAGAGCTAATGATTCTGAAATGTGTTATCAGTGGAGAAAAGGGCAAGTCTGGGAGACAGCAGGGGTTGGGTAGCTTGCTCTACAGAGCGAGTTCCAGAAGGCTGGCATTGTATGTTGGTTGGGGAGGTCCAAGAAGCCACTGTGCAAAGTACTGGAAAGGGTGCCAATACACACTAATTACTCAACATATGGCCAGGCATAGTGGCAAGCATCTTTTATGATAAAGCTAGTGGTGAACCTTGGCAGATTCCATGTCAGGAGTGGCTGACCGAGGCAGGGAACAAGCATGCCAGGGAGACAGAGTTTAAGTGAGAAGTTTTATTAGAAAGGGGGCAGGGGAAGAAAAGAGGTAAAGAGACACAGAGACAGAGAGAGGACAGAAAAGAAGAGGGAGGCAGGAAAAGCCCTGTCTGCCCCAGGGAAACAGCAGGGAAGAGAGAGGGAGAGGAGCTGGAAAGAGCATAAGTGGACAGGGGTCTTTCATTTAAAGGGGTCCTTTGTACCTGCTTGCAGACTACTTAGTCATGGAGCCCTGGGCTGGCCAGAGTACTGCCAGAGTGCATTCTGCCAGGTGACAGGGGCAGGCCAGCATAATGCCTGAATCCTTAGACATTTAATTTCAGCACTTGGGAGGCAGAGGCAGGTGGGTATCTGTGATTTTGAGGCCAGTCTGGTCTACATAGTTCAAGGATAGCCAGAGCTGCACAATGTGATTTTATTTCAAAAGCCTAAATAAATGAAATATAATGTCAGAAGGTACCAGCTCACATCCCTCATATTTCTTACTCTGAGCATGGAGGACACAGGTAAAGATGAATGAAATCACCTTATAGATACATCATTAGGAAAGGGCATTTATGAGTGACACTGTCTCTCAGTTTGAGAGCTGAGGACACAGGAGTGAAGCTGGGATACTAAAGTAAGGAAGTGTCTGGCTACAGCCAGTTTGTGACAAGTGAGCATATTGAATATATTGTTACTGTCAGGTCCCAAAGAAACCCAGGACAAAAGGCTGAGGTGCACACCTAGTACCATACCAATGGCTGCCAGGCTCACTCAGTACCTGTGGCTCCTCTCTGCTCTTCTCACACACCTCCTACCCCACACCTTTCCAGCCAGTGGGCTTCCCTTTCCCCTGCTTCTCTTTTCTATATAACCCTGTCCCATGCTCTCTTTGTGGTCTCCCTCCTCTTTCTCCCATCTCCATCCTTCTCTCTCCTCTCATGACCTGGTTCAGTCTACTGATCATATTTAATCTACTTCTCCCTGCTCTGGACTCTTCAGCTGCCTTTGGCTCTACACTTCCTCATATCTACAAAACCCTCCTCTTCAACCATTACTTGGAGTGGACATTTCCTCAGTTTCACTTAGTTACATCTTTGGGTTTTCCAGAGAAGCAGAGAAGCAGAGAGATGTGAAATTTGTGAGATTGTTTCACTATGTTGTCCAAACTGGTCTTCCTGATTCGGCTGAGATTACAGGCACAAACACTGCACCTGGTTTTTCTGAGATTACAGGTGCAAACTCTACACCTGGCTTTTATGTACCGATACTTAAATGTAGCAATTAACCCAACTAAAACAGAAAGCAAACAAACAAAACCTCTGCTGGACTAATTAACCTCTTCTCTGCACTTCCAGCCAGCAGCTTTCCAGCAGTTTCTTCTGCCCCAGGGCTGGGCCCAGCTTTTGCAGTCTGTTCAACAAATTGAGCACTTGCTGCAATTGTTGTGGGCCCTGGGGACACATCAGAAAACGCCAAAGCAAAGCCCTGCCCAAGCAAAACCGACATTAGCATCTGTGTAGAGGACAGGTAAAAAGAGACAGCAGAGTTTAAGATCTCAGTCACAGGATAAGAGGAACAGAGGAGGTAGGGGGATCAAGGTAAGCAAAGGTCTGATTGTATGGGAGGAGCTAAGGGGACTACTAAAACCAGACACAAGTTAGACAAGGGCCTGGAGAGAAAGTAGGTTAAGGAAGCTGGCACTGGGAAGTCTGAAGTCATACTCTAAACCCTAGGTACCAAGAGAACTGTATCCCTTTGCAATTTCTGACACTAACAACTTGGTCTGTTCCCTCTCTTTCTCTGTCTCTCTCTCCCACACCTTGGTCTGATTCCACATTCTCTCTCTCTCTTTTTGGTTTTTGGAAACAGGATTTATCTGTAGCTTTGGAAGCTGTCCTGGAACTAGCTCCATTAGATCAGGCTGGCCTCAACTCACAGAGATCCTCCTGCCTCTGCCTCCCGAGTGCTGGAAATAAGATGTATACAACCAATACCTGGCTGATTCCACATTCTCTTATGATTTCTTTGTACAAGGTGCAAGTGTGTGTACACATATGTGCACTTGAGCATACACACATACACACACACACACACAGTCTGTTATGAGTCTGGGGTCTTTCAGAGATTCATCAGTCTATTAGTGTCTTATTTTGTTTTTCAAGACAGGGTTTCTCTGTGTAACTCCCTAGCTGTCCTGGAATTTTGCTTTGTAGATGAGGCTGGCCTTGAACTCACAGAGTTCTCCCAAGTGCTGGGAATAAAGGAAAGCACCATCATGCCCTGCTGTTTGTTTTTGAACAAATAAGAGGTTTTATTAAGAATTACTGTCTAAGATATCAGAGACCTGGAATTCTCTGCCTGTGGTTCAGATCTGATGTTAGTACAGAGTTTATAAAGGGGAAAAAAAAAAAGCACGAAAAGTTACAGTGGTTTTTTTTTTTTTTTGTGGGGGTTCAGGGTTAGGATGTAAACTCGCATCCTGCTTTTGTGTAAGCAGTGCCTAATTTTATAACAGACATCCCGCAGGTGCCTCATTTATCTCCAGCAAGCAAGCAGTGTTTTAAAAAGCAAAACTAGTCGTTAGCTGCCAGGACCCATTGTCTTGCAAGAACAATAGAGGCAGTTTCTTAATATTAGCTAACTATTCTGGGAAATCATCTGTCTTGGGCAAGATTGCTGACAGGGTACATTTCCCAAACCAGCAGCTTACAAGCTGAAGCAATTTTCTCATGGATTCTTCAAGTACAACTGTCTTTATGCGTTGAACATGTTATTCACTATCACAAGTCAATACTTATCCATGTTTTAACACAGGGCTGTCACTGTGTAGACTAGGTTGGTCTTAAATTTATGGTGATCCTCCTGCCTCAGCCTCAGAGTGCTAGCATCACAGCTAAGCACTCTAACACAGGGCTTACTTTATTTAGTTATGATTTGAGACAGGTCCTATTGTACAGCCCAGGCTGACCTTGAACTTACAGCTCTTGATTCTCCTGCCTCTCAGCCTGCTAATGGCTGAAGGTTACAGGCATGTGTCACCAAGCCTGAATACTATTCAAGTTTTTGAGGGTAGAAAGTTCAATTCTGGTCTTCTTACACCTGGGTTCATTTAAAAGTATGGTCTTGTATATTTTACCTCACACCTCATGTCTTGCTCACCTTGTCTGTAAAACAGGGATAATTCAGAGTTCTCTTTCGGTATTGTGGTGAGGAGAAAATGAGACACAAGCTGAAAAAAATTGGGAGCCCAGATAGCCGGGTCCTGGGAGGTCATTGTGATACTTGTTTTGAAACAGGGCTCACTATGTAGCTCTGGCTCACCTGGCTCAGCTGATCCTTCCGCTTCCTCCAAGCCCCCCCCCCCCTCCCAGCAATAGAATTACAGGTATTCACCACTACTTCTGCCTTCCTAGGTTTTTGGAAGGATTGCCTGGCTGTGAATTGGGTACCTTACTCGGGAATGCTTGCCCACCTTAGCCTGGGACCCTACACTGGCTTTTCTGCTGCCACCCAAGGCCTCGGATTCCTCCTCCAAGGAGACAGAACAGGGAGGAGGTGGGGGAGATTAAAGGGGTGGTGGGACAGCGGGGAGTGGTGGGACGGGGTGGGGGCGGGACCACGTAGCGCAGGCTATCTTGTCTGGCCCTTCAGCTTCTGCTCTCACTGCTGGACCCGGTCTGCCCACCCAACCTCAGCTCCTACCTCCTAATCACCAACTCAGGCGTACCAGCCCCATCCCAGGGTGAGTGCAAACAGCAAACAAAGGCCGGTCTTAGGGGACCCACCGAAGCCGAATCTGAGATCAGTATAACTGGGTGTCTGGCAGAGCCTTTGGAGAGAGAGCACGGGTAGAAATACGGAGCCCCTCGCCGGCCTCTGAGCTCCCATAAAAGCTGATCTTGAGCGATCCCACTAGACACAGGGAGAGGGGCGTCATCGGAAACCTCCTTGCCTCCGTACTCCCCTCCCCATTCTTTTCCCAGGCCATGGGAGGCAAAGGGTTAAATCCCATAGAGCTGATGTTCTGACTCCAGGCTAGAGGGGCCCGGGAAGCTGGGGTCACTTCCTGCTCCGTCCCAGTCACCCTGAACTGGTCCCCGGGTCCTCAGCCTGGAATCACCCCCTAGAGAAGGACCCTAGAGTTCTCGGCATCCAGCCCGTCCCCCGAGGCAGGCACTTAAGGGGTTAAGTCCCCTGGGGCTGGACTCTTGTCTTCCGGCTTTTCCCAGACCCCAGAGCCGTGAGTTGGGGCCGCCTGGGTTCCCGGGGTGGCCTGGAGGCCCGGGACAGCCGCCGGGGAACAATAGGGCTAAGGAGGCGACGCCGGGTGCGGGGCGCAGGCCGGGCCCGGGGCGGCGGGGGCGGCGGCCGGGGGATTGTGGGGACCGCGCGGGGGCCGCCGTGGGGGAGGGGAGGCGCGCGCGCCCGGAGAGCGAGTCCGGCCGGGGGCGGCGAGGCGAGGCGGCCGCGGCTCTCCGGGAACCGGGAAGCCTGGGCGTCCGCGGCGGGGTGGGGACGCTGGCGGCTCGGCCGGGCTTTCGGGGCCGGGGACAGGGTCGGCCCTCCGAGCCAGAAGCGCTCCAGTCCGGGTCCGCCCGGGTGCGGGGGGCGGCGTCGAGGGCGGTCCCGCTGCCTCCTGGTCAGGGTCACCCTGGGCCGCGCGCACCTCCGCGGGAAGCCAGCCGCCGCGGCCGTCCCTCCCGCCGCGGTCCTCTGGGCGCCCTCGGGGCCGGAGGCTGGCGCTCTTGGCCCGGGCTGGTTCCCAGTAGTTCTCGCCTCTCTGTCTTCGCTACTTCACGCGTGTGGCCTTGTCATTAACCCTTTCCCTTCTAAGGTAGGCCCCTGAGCTTAAGTTTTCAGTCCCAGTGTACCTAAGCTCCTACCTGTCCTCTGTCCGCTCAGCGTCCGCTCAGCGGAGTACCTTTCTCCCATCCGCGCAGGCACCTCCAGTGGGCTCCATCTCCCCTACAGACATTTACAGGTCAGGAGAGACTGTGGAGATGAAATTTATTTTCTTCCTTTACTCTGACTTCTGCCTCTGCTGCTGCTCCTTAACACTGGTCAGCTAGTTGTCTGTTGTTCAACTGCTTCGCATACCAGCTGCCTCCTGGAGAGCTTTTGCCCCTGTGCACAGAGTACCTACCCACACTGTAAATGTGAGTGCCCTCCTGCACTTTGCTCCTGCGGCCCTGTTCTCTCTCCTGGGAGACATCGCGATTTTGAGATTGACAGGTGATTCCTTTTCCATGGGGATCACACTGAACTTGCTTTCCTTTTCTGACATCTCTCTGCCAACTGGCCAATCGTTAAAGATACTGAATCAAATAGGTTTTCCAGGAGCAAGTGGTGTCTAGGTCATTCAGTCATCCCACAGAGTTTTTACTGGGCATCTGTCCTAGGCATGTGGTAAAACATCGACAAAAAGAACAGAGCAGAAGGATGGGTCTTCCGGCGGGTCTGGAAATAGATGGCTTTGGGGACAGCATTGCCTAGAGCTCAGAGACGCAGTTTCTCAGACCTTGTTACTGGGTCCAACTCCTCCTTTTTCAACCAAGGAAATTCTGCTCCCTGGAATTTCTCCAGCCTGTTCCCACAGCAGGGGCTCAATCTGAGCCTTACTCGTCACTCTCCTGCCAGGAGCCCACAAGTTTGAGTCTCATGTGACTGTCAAGGTCATTCATGCTTTTAGACAGGGGCAAACCAAACAGAATACTGCATTTGTGCTCTTAGCTCTGTTACGTCCGAGTTAGAGGCCTTGGACCACCCCCACCCCATCCCAGTGTTGCTCTACTAATCTGTAAAGTGAACAAATGATTCCCGAGTCTCCCAAGGCAGTGAGAGAAATATGATGCCTGGCAGTTAACCGTGTCTTCCCAGGTATTCTCCACATACTTACTCACCACCTTCCTTCTGCCCCTTTCTCCTTCGTTTTGTTTGAGACAAAATCTCGTGCAGCTTACTGACCTTGACCTTCTGACCCTCCTGTTTCTACAGCTCCCCCCCCAAGTACGCCTTCTATAGGAGCCCCTAACCTCAGACTTCCCCTTCCCACTCCTAGACTGACTCTCTTTCTGTGCTTGGATAACGACAAGTGCTCCAGTCCTTGTCAGTCTCTGTCCCTTCAGGGAAACTTTTTTTTTAACCCTTTAAAAAGTGCAAGTCTCAGTTCTCTCTGGAGCTCATAAAGGAAAAGTTTATTGGTCTCAATTAGCAGTCCCATAAAGGAAGAAAATTGGAGTCCTAATGAGCTTTGTCTGATTTGCAAAATAGCACGTTTCCAGGCCTCTGGGCATTGGATGTGTGGGGTGAAAGCCTGCCTCCCCTGTGAATGTTGGATAGAGCTCCAGCCTTCAATCTAGGTACAAAGGGTTATGACTGATGAGTTTTTAATTGACTCTTTACATTCACTGAGTTGCTTCATTGTGAGCTTAAGATGTGCAGTGTTTTGAACCAGACCTCTGGGGCCACAGGGCTCAGGGAGAGATGGTGCCAGAAAAATGAGTGGCAGGTCCCTGAGAGGGTAGCACAAGAAAAGCATACAACCAGGTTGCATTATGTGCCCATCTCTCCCCACCAGAGTACCTGGAACCTTCACAGTCGGCAGCTGTGGGATGGAACCTGAGACAGTGCTGTGGGGCCCAGATCTGCAGGGTCCTGAAGAGAGCCGGAACAATGCTCACAGAGGTGAGGGGCACAAGGGGCTGTGGATCTGACCAGACCGTGGCCCTGGCTCAGGGAGGGGCCCAAACTCTGGGCAATCATAGGGGAGGGAAGAGAGACCAGACCCCATGATCTGAAAGGAGATGGGGGCTGGAGACTCCCTTTCTGTCTGTAGGTGCTGAAAGTGGGAATGAAGAGGAGAGCCCTCAGCAGGAAAGTTCTGGGGAGGAGATCATCTTGGGAGATCCAGCTCAGAGTCCAGAATCTAAGGACCCACCAGAGATGTCCCTGGAGAGCCCCTCCCAGGATTCCCCAGCCCCACTGGGTTCTTCCAACCCCTTAGACCACCAGACCCCTATGGACCCATCAGCCCCTGAGATAGTCCCTTCCCCATCTGAGTGGACCAAGGCTTGTGAGACCAATTGGCAGTGGGGAACCCTCACCACCTGGAACAGCGCCCCAGTAGTCACTGCCAGTGAACCCAGCCTACGGGAGCTGGTGCAGGGCCGCCCTTCTGGGGCTGAGAAGCCATACATCTGCAACGAGTGTGGCAAAAGCTTTAGCCAGTGGTCCAAACTGCTACGGCACCAGCGCATCCATACGGGTGAACGGCCCAACACATGCTCAGAGTGTGGCAAGAGCTTCACCCAGAGCTCACACCTGGTGCAGCACCAGCGCACACACACGGGTGAGAAGCCCTACAAGTGCCCCGACTGCGGCAAGTGCTTCAGCTGGAGCTCCAACCTGGTGCAGCACCAGCGCACGCACACGGGCGAGAAGCCCTACAAGTGCACTGAGTGTGAGAAAGCCTTCACACAAAGCACCAACCTCATCAAGCACCAGCGGTCCCATACTGGGGAGAAGCCCTACAAGTGTGGTGAATGCCGGCGTGCTTTCTACCGTAGCTCGGACCTCATCCAGCATCAGGCCACACACACAGGTGAAAAGCCCTACAAGTGCCCAGAGTGTGGCAAGCGCTTTGGTCAGAACCACAACCTGCTCAAGCACCAGAAGATCCACGCAGGGGAAAAGCCATATCGCTGCACGGAGTGTGGCAAGAGCTTCATCCAGAGCTCAGAGCTGACACAGCACCAGCGCACTCACACTGGGGAGAAGCCCTATGAGTGCCTGGAGTGTGGCAAGAGCTTTGGCCACAGCTCCACGCTCATCAAGCACCAGCGAACACACCTACGAGAGGACCCCTTCAAGTGCCCTGTCTGTGGCAAGACCTTTACGCTGAGCGCCACGCTGTTGCGCCATCAGCGCACACACACAGGTGAGCGGCCCTACAAGTGCCCCGAATGTGGCAAGAGCTTCAGCGTCAGCTCCAACCTCATCAACCACCAGCGCATCCATCGCGGGGAGCGGCCGTACATCTGCGCAGATTGCGGCAAAAGCTTCATCATGAGCTCCACGCTCATCCGCCACCAGCGGATTCACACAGGCGAGAAGCCCTATAAGTGCTCTGACTGTGGTAAGAGCTTCATTCGCAGCTCGCACCTAATCCAGCACCGCCGCACGCACACGGGCGAGAAACCCTACAAGTGTCCTGAGTGCGGCAAGAGCTTTAGCCAGAGCTCCAACCTCATCACGCATGTCCGCACACACATGGACGAGAACCTCTTTGTGTGCTCGGATTGTGGCAAGGCCTTCCTGGAGGCTCAGGAGCTGGAGCAGCACCGTGTGATCCATGAGAGAGGCAAGACACCTGCCCGGAGAGCTCAGAATGACAGTTTGCTAGGGCTCGGGGATCCTGCGCTGCTGACCCCGCCACCAGGAGCCAAACCCCACAAGTGTCTGGTCTGTGGAAAGGGCTTCAATGATGAGGGCATCTTCATGCAGCACCAGCGGGTTCATATTGGAGAAAACCCCTACAAAAATGCAGATGGTCTCATAGCACACTCGGCCCCCAAGCCTCCGCAGTTCCGTTCCCCTAGGTTCCCCTTCGCAGGCAATTCACACCCAGGTGCTTCTGAAGGCAGAGCTGATCCCCCAGGACAGTCTTTGAAAGTGCCTGAGGGTCAGGAGGGCTTCAGCCAAAGGCTAGGTCAACTCTCCTCAAAGTGCTATGTTTGTTCCCACTGTGGCGAAAGCTTCCTCGACAGGGCTGTGCTCCTGCAACATCAGCTCACCCACGGCAATGAAAAGCCCTTTCTCTTTCCCGAGTGTAGGACTGGCCTTGGGGAAGGGGCAGAGCCCAGTCCCTTCCTAAGTGGAAAGCCCTTTAAATGCCCGGAATGCAAAAAAAGCTTTGGCCTGAGCTCTGAGCTGCTTCAGCACCAGAAAGTCCATGCAGGTGGGAAGTCCCAGAAGGGCTCGGAGCTGGGGAAGAGCTCCTCAGTGCTGTTGGAACATCTCAGGAGCCCTTTGGGGGCCAGACCCTATAGCTGCTCTGATTGTGGGGCCTCCTTCCTCGATCGACTAGCTCTCACCCGCCACCAGGGAACCCATACTCAAGAAAGGGCCCCCACTCTTGAAGACCCCCCTTCAGAATCAGCCGCCTTGTCCACAAACCAGGAAGATGAGGGAGAGGCCCCAACCCCCCCAACGAGCAGCAGCCATAGGGAAGAGGAAAGTCCTAAAACTCTCTCACAGAAAAAGCCCTATGTGTGTCCTGAATGTGGAGATGGCTTCACAGAAGTTGCAACACTCCTCCTCCACAGGAGCTGTCACCCAGGCGTCTCCCTGTGAAGTAGATCTGAAGGCCAGGGACCTCTCTTCTGAGAATGTGGGGAAAGCAGGACAACCCCATCAGATCAGAGAGAAGTGGAGGGTCAAGAACCCTGGGAAGAGATAGTGCATTTGCATCAGTGATAAGAAGCCTGTGAGATTATGGGTGGGAACCCCTTATAAGCCGTAGAGAAAAACTGCTGGGTTAGAAGCCCTATAAATATGTAGGAAAAAAAAGCCCTTTAAGTCTGTAGCAGAGAAATCCTATAAACCATAGTGGGTAAAAGCCCTATTAATTGTAGGAAGAGGTTCTAACATGTCTCTAGACAAACCCATAAAACTGTATCAAAGTCCTTATCAGAATCCTGTAGCAGGGTGGAGGTCTAGGGAATACAGTCAGCACTGACTAGTAAGGTGCCCTGGATGGTGGAGGAACACCTGAACTCTTCCTAGGACACTCTCCTGGCAGCCCTGGGCAGAGGAAAGTGATCATCGAGGAAGTTGTGTAAGAACGCAGTAGAGCTAGAAAAAGAAGAGGGATGGGGAGGGAATGACTAGGAGCTTCCAGACCCACAGGTGAGACAAGACATTGGTTACATTGGGGGTTCTTTAGTGAATTGTATGTACGAGGGGAAGAAAGACTTGGGGGTCCCTTATCAATAACAGCCCCCAAATGCAAAAGAAACAAGGGGTGTGAGGTATATAACAAATCTCAGTGTAAGAATATTGAGAGCTCACCTCAGCTATTAGGGGAAACTTTGTTTGTCTGAAGGGAAGCAAAGCACAGTGGAGAAACTGCAGATGGAAGCTAGCCAGTTCCTCCTCCTCCTCCTGGGAGCTTGTTAAACTTCAAGTGCAAGCAGGTCCCAGTTCAGGCTATCAGGTTCTCCTCAGACAGGCAGGACCAGCCTTTCCCCAGCCTAGCTGGAGATGTCTACTCTGAGAGGCCTCTGGGGTTTCAAGGGGCCTCTGCCACATTCTCAGGTCTCACAGGTTTTACCTGAAAGCTAACTGCCACAAATCTTACTGCAGTGGCAACCCATTTCCTCAAATTCTGTCCTCAGTGGAGAGCCACTCGCTGCTAGTCAACTTCCAAAGAATAAATTCCTTCAGAGATTCAAGGCTTGTATGTACTTGTCGTCCCTAGAGTTCTACAAGCTCGTGAGAGCCGCTTATGGGTTCTCTGTGGTGATGAGGGATGGCAGGGCAACAGCAACACCATGTAAACCTCAGCCTTTTGTGTGAACTCTATGCGAGGCTGCCTGCAGGATGAGCCAGGCTGCACGTGGTGGATGTCCCTGACATGGCACAGACTGGACCAGAGTCCTTGAAGAGGCAATGGAAACTTGACCACCTTCATCCCCAGTACTTGGATGCCCTTGAGACAGGGCGGCCAAATTTGATCATGGCTCGGGAAAGGGAGAGATTCCACCTGATCCTTTTGGCCTTTCTCTTCTTAGCCAGGAGCCACTGGATGAAAATGAAAGGTTGAGAAATGCCTACCAGGTCCATCTCCTCCTCAGACACCATAGGCTAGACATGTCATTAATCCAGCCAAACCTGCTCACATGACTGGAACTCTGAGATGGAGCAGAGACAGTTGCCCTAAAAGTGGTGAAGAAAAACTTGGGCAAAAACATCCACAACGAAGACCCTAAAGATGGGAAGGACTGCCCCCCCTGTATTTGGATTGCAAAGGGAGTGTCCTTAGCCCAGTGCTGGCATTAGTGACATACTATCCAGACTAGGAGGACTGAGACACCAAGTGATATGGCTCTTTACGAATCCCGTGCCCAGAAGAGTGACCTGGATCCCTACAAAGCTGTGGAAGGGACCTCTAGTCCCATTACCTAAAACTTCAAAAGGTAGAGACCCATCATCTCTCCTGACCCTAAATGGATGACCCTCAAAATTTAAAGGACCAAAATCTAGAATACTGGGAGAAAAATGCCAGTCCTCCTGGGAAGGGAGAAAAGGCAGGCCTTCTACAATTACAGAGAGCCTTGCTAGAGTCCCAAGTACCATGTAGGGGAGCTCCGTGGGGATGGGAGGAGTCTGTATATTGACAGAAATGCTGGTAAAGGGGATACCCCTATAAAATGGAGTAGGTACTCTCCTAAGTACAAGCTGATCTGTCCCCTTCTAAGGTGGTAGCAGTAACTAGAGGGAAATCCTGTGTAAAACTAAGCAGATTCCCTCAGACCCAGGTTTGAGTTTGAAAGTCTGTCTTCAGATTTCTGGGGCAGGCAATCTGTGTAGTCATGGCCGACTGTACAACTAAGATGTAGTGGATGTGATAGGTGCTCACATGTTCTGGAGACACGTGACCCCAGTACTGAATGGACCATGTGGATAGGTGGTGGACTGGGCTTCCTGGTAGGAAAAGGCAGAGCAGAGGCCTTGAGATGAGACCTGTTCTCTTGGCCACCTCTCTCTCAGACCCAGCTACCTCACTGAGAGAATCTGTTGCAGGGCCCAGTCCTAATTGGCTCAAGAAAAGGTCCCACAGAATAAAGTCTGGAAGGCATAATGGAGCCAATTCCATGCTGGTCCAGAGCCCTCAGAAGTGCCCCTGGGGAAGAGCCCAGAAAGCGTGGCATGAGTGAGGGGCACAAGCGTACAAGAGGGCAGAGCTGATCTGCATTCAGGGGAAACTTACAGCTCGTATTGAGCATGGAGGTCAAATAGGACTTATAAAGGAACTGGGTGTGAACCATGATTTGGGGAGAGGACTTGAAACCCACCATCATTACCCCCAGTCTGAAGTGGCTCCCAGAATCCTTTGCCTCTGCAAAGGAAGCCCCGCTCCCCTGACTTCTCCCTAGCCAGGGAGTGAAGGGAAGCCAGCCCTATTTTTGAGTGTCTTGTGTCAGTAACAGTGTTGTGTCACCAGTGGCCATGTTGAATAGTTGAGAATAAAGGGAGTAAGATTTCCCAGGTGTTTTCTTTTTTTCTTTCTACTTGTCCAGCCAAAAGCAAGCTCAGAACTTGTCCTCTCCCAGAACTAGGGCCCCTGAGGACCCAAATGCTCTGTATTGTCCCAAGCTTGCTCCTTTTCCAGGGGCCCTGTGCTCCCTGCCCAGTGTTTGCTTGGGGAAGGTTGACAGGTTTATGGAACTTTAAACGAGAGAGACAGATAGACAGACTTTGGTAAGCTGAATGTCTGCCTGGTGGCTCTGGTACTGGTTATCTTAGGCCTCCTGCAGCCTCCCCAGCAGCACAGGGAAAGCTCCTATGAGTCCTCAGAATTGCCAGCTACTTCTCTGGGTTTCCTTGGGTTCAGGGCCTACCTCAGCCCCTCCTGTCACCTGTCCTCTTTGAGAGGTGAGTGGTGTCCCATTCTCAGGATAGGCTATAGATCCTCCCCATGGGAGAAGCTGAGACTCTAGAAGTATAGCCACTTTCCCAAACCCATAGGAAGTCATGTGGGAGTTAGAGTGGCCTGGAGGCCTACAGGTCACCTCCCCACAAGCCGTTACTTTTCTCCTGTGGTTGGGCCTGCTGAGAACTAGGTTTCATCTAAGGCAGTTGGGACAACAAGGAAGTCCTCAGTGCCAGGCTGGCCTCAGCATGGTCTCCTGAGTCTGGTCATGGGCCCCTAAGTAGCTGCCTGTGAGCAACACTAGCTATAGCCTGTCTCTGCCCCATCTGTTAAGGACTCTCACTGGAGGCAGAAAGGTGTATTTCGATCTTTTTTTTTTTTTTTTTTTTTTTTTTTTTCCTCGAACTAAAAAAAAGTTTGGCTGGCTGGTGGTAGCATATGCATTTACTCCCAGCACTCCAGAAGCAGAGGCAGGTGAATCTCTGTGAGTTCAAGGCTAGCCTGGTCTATTTAGTGAGTTCCAGGACAGCCTCCAAAGCCATAGAGAAACCCTGTCTTGAAAAACCTTAAAGACAAACAAACAATTGATGTGTATGGCTATTTTATTTCCATGTGTCTGAGCATCCATGTGCATGCAGTTCCTGAAAAGGCCAGAGGAGGGGGACAGATCCCCTGCAACTGCAGTTACAGGTGGTGGTAGCAGCCATGTAGATGCCCGGAATTGAACCCAAATTTTCTGGAAGAGCAGCCAGGACTCTTAACCCCTGAGACATTTCTCCAGCCTTCACTTTATTATACTTCTAGCCTACATCCCGAATAAGCTCTCTCCCTTTCTGTTCTTGGAATGGGTGGGTGGTCTGGGGAGGGAGACTTGCCTTTTCATGTCCCTGGGTCCCTAACCCTGGGTACACTAAGGAACATCAAGACTAGCCTCTGTCCTGGAAGAGTCCTCAGTTGGGCAAGGGACTGCGATGAGAGGGGCTTCAGAGCAGTGACTGACTTAAAGGCCGAGATCACGCCTCCCACAGCGGGCTGGATAACACTTGGAGGAAGTAACTCCAGAGCATAGAGGTCTCAGGAACGGGATTCTCTGCGTAGCAGTCAGGAGTGGGATGCGGACAGAGGAGTCAAACAGTTGGGGATTGGCTTAGAGCAGTGGGTTTCAGCATGTGGGCCATGACTCCTTTGGGAGTGGGGCAACCTATTCACAAGGGTCACCTAAGACCATTGATAAACAGATATTCACATTACAATTCAGCAAAATTAGTTATGAAGTAGCGGTGAAAATGATTTTGTGTTTGGAGGTCACCACAGCACGAGGAAGGGTCACAGCACTGGGAAGGGGGAGAAGCGCTGGGTTACAGCATAGGGAAGATGAAGAGAGACACAGCCAGAGCAGAGGCCAAAGCCCGAGGAAGCTTAGCTCTGTGAGACAATCGCACAATCCTGCATGCTGCTGAAACATTGATTTTCAGGTCTGGTGCTTGGAAAAGAACTGCAGGAATCAGGTTTCAGTGGCTTACCTGTAGTCCTGTCCCTGGATAAAGGCCTCAGAGAAAGCTAGGTGCAAAGGGAAGTCTGGTTATGGTTGAAGGAAGAGCTCAGAAGGCAATGACCGTGAGGCAAGCCAGTGAATGTAGCTAGCACCCAAAGCTTGGGTAAGTTCTGGAAGTAGTTCCCACCAAAAGCTGGGGTGGCCTTTAACTCCAGCGTGCCTGGGTTGGCCAGGGAAGGGATCTAACTCACCTATCTATCTCTGTGACCCTGACAAGCAAAGAAAGCTTATCAGCCATATAAGACAAATCTTGCACCCATGTGACAGACTGATAGCTGTTTCCACTCCCCTGCTGAGGTGGGAAACTTCCCCAGACATTGGGACTCTGGAACCTTTAGCCCATCTGATGCTCTACTTTATAGTTAAGTGTTACCACCACACATGAAGGTTTGAGTACCCCAACCCTTAGGAGGACTTGTCTCTGAGGGAATAGCTGTGAATTTACTTAAGGAGCCTAAGTGGCCGTGACTTGGGAGGATCATGCTGGTGATGAGCAGGCGCACAGGCCTCTCAGCCGCTTGTTCTACCAGCTCAGGTGGCTGTGTCTCTATGACGCAATACTCTGCATTTCTCCCACCTTTCCCACCTTAACTACCCTAGCACTCCAGACAAGGTGGCTTTCCTGGTGGCCCAATGTCATCCCCTGCCGCGACTCGTGCTTCCGCCAGCGTTCCCATCGCTGCCAGCTCCACTTCCGAGATCACCGTAGCTCGCATTTCTGTCTCCAGTCCAACTTGGTTCAGCCACTTTGACCCCACTGAAACCAGGCGGAGTCAGAAAGCAGAGGGGGCGCGGAGTCCTCACGAAGGAAAGATGGCAGAGAAGGCTGAAGAACCCCGAGAAGGCACTGCTATTGCTAAGCCTGAGGCCACTACCGTGGCTATGACTGCTGCTCCCACACCCACTCCGACCCCACTCAGCACCGGCCATGGCACTAGTCCCAGCGTGACTTCCATGAAAGCTCCACCGAAAGAGCTGGCAGCACTCTGACTCCACTAACATTTGGGCAAACGGTTTCCAAGGGTCCAGATAGTGGCCAGAAGAGGCTACAATGAAAAGTCACCGTGCTGAGGTGTCATGGTCTGTGTGTTTGCAGAGTAGGGGTGGGTAAAGAATGCCAGTAACGAACTGAAAGATTTACCCGCCTTTGGCCAGCACAACAGGGAAACCGCGCACTTTGAGCCAAGAGACTACATCTCCCAGGATGCAACCCGAAAGTTGTTATCTGAACGGCCAATGACCGTTAAGGGCGTGGCCAACCCTTAACCAGAGGTTTCTCCAGTGAGCAGGGTGTGGTTGCTTCTTGAAACAGGTCTCTGCAGATAAGCATGCCACTGATCCTTGGGGCCCACGAAGTTGTTGGGTGGGCTAGAACGGGTTCTCAAATGTACGCTGTTCCCAACCCTAGATCCATACCAACCAACCCAGGGAAGTGTTAGCCAGGTGTGGCACCTAGACTTATATTTAGACCAAGTGGACTGGCTACTCTGTAGCCTAGGGTTGGGTATTTATTCATAACAATTTAGCAGCCCATACACAACGGCTCTAGGGCAGAGGCTGTGAGTCCAAAAGACCTTGTAGCTCTCTGCAGCGCCATCTCCCGGCCCCGCTGGGCCCCACCTTCACAGTTGAGAAGTCTGTTTAGGCCAATCCTGCAGGGAGACTCTGAGTACAGGCTAGCCCCAGGACAGCAGGCAAAGCTCTCTCTACCTTGGAATGACTGGAAGTGCTAGATTGTCCCTTCCCTTCTGGCAAGCTGCACCTCTACAATTAAGACCACCAGGATGAAAGCAGGGCTAGGGCCAGGTACTCAAGGGAGCATCAGGATTGTGAGGAAGGGCAAAGGGACTGGGAAGAGTGGTAAAGAAATTGATGACCCTGAATCAGCAATATGAGAAGGCAGTGTCCAAAACTGCAGAGTTTCCCTGAATAGGGCAGACACCCAAGGCTGCACCTTCTTCAGCACAAAAGCTACAGCAGGATGCAGGAAACTCCACAGGAAGGCTAAGCCCGCTCAGTCCTGGAGCCAAGAAGGTGAAGAAAGGCTCCTTGGGCCCAAGACTCAATGCTAAGCAAGGGGTCCTTGGTCATCACTGAGGTTGTGGAGGCAGGTGGTAAGCCCTTTCCTGGTGGAGGAATTCCCCTTCAGGGGTAAGGATGGTGTGTCTCTTCAGTAGAAACAGGGTTAGGCCAGCTCCCAAGGTTGGATGTTTTGAACCTGGGAGAGTGCCCTAGGCTGCAGATCTGACACTCAGGAAAAAATGGCACTCAGCTTGGTTAATTCCACCTCTCCTGCATGCACCAATAGCCCCAAACCATCTAGGTACACAGGGGCTGGGTTCATTGAGTCTGGAAAGGAAGCTGGGGCCATTGCCCCTGGGGGAGAGGGGAGCTGGGGGCACAGCCCCTAGGGTATGTGATGTGTCAAAGTCCCCCGAGTTTGAGGTTCAGCTGATGTACACACGGTGGAAGTCATGGGCACCAAAGGCCGCGTTGCACTTGGGGCACTTCCTCTGGCGGGCCTCATAGCGGCCCCGCACACACTCGAAGCAGAAAACGTGGAAGCACTTGGTGAGCACTGCGTCCTTCTTGCGGGTGTTACAGCAGGGGCAGGTCAACCGAGCCTGCACCAAACAGAAGCATCAAGTTTAGAGCGACTCTGACAGTGCCGGCACACCACACTAAGAGCAGGCTCCAAGCCAAGCCCACCCAATGGCACATGCTTCTAGTTCTAACCATAATTGCTGAAGGTGGGGACCAGCACAGCATGAATGAGGAGACAGCCCAGACACCAAGTATTCAAAATCAGAAAGTAGCTAAGAACAGCTCACAAGGGCAGTCCCAGCACTTGGGAGAGACTGAGGCAGGAGGTAGTGCTCTAGCAAGACAAAACCAACCAACCAGAAATAAAAGACAAAAATAAGGGGCTGGAGAGGTGGCTCAGCAATCAAGAGCACTAGCTGTTCCTCCAGAGGACCTGGATTCAATTCCCAGCACCCACAAGGCAGCTCACAACTGTCTGTAACTCTAGTTCCAGAAAATCAGATACTGAGATA